TGCCAGGCCACGAGTCGTGGCCTGGCATGAGTAAAACATATTGACATGAACTATCATAGAATTTGCCATCTTGGTTATGATGGTGTGAGTTCCACTTGTGCGGCTCCAACGGGGTGGGTCACAAGTAGGCCTCAGCGGCTAATGCTAGTTTTTTTGGGCAAAAATGCTTTTGGCAATGTTAGTTATTTTGGTTGCTAATGCTAGGTTGAGTGCTCGTTTGCAGCATTAATGCTAGTTTCAGCACCAATACAAGGAAAGGAAATGGTGTACAGAAATACTTTTTCGGATGGTCTTGTGTCTAATTTCATTGTAGACACGATCAGATGAAACAGGGCACCATGGTAAATTAAAGGTAGAAATACGATACTAGTAGTCGATACACGGTGGACAATGTCTGGCAACTATCTTCGTATCCCATTACGGCTTGGGAACTCACAGCTCATGGCCGAGCCGACCATGGTTGTACTGGAGCATGAGCTCCACTTCCAGGTGGTCTGTCAGTGTTGAGGCTTGCTGGCTGCTCGTTGCTGCTTCAAGGAGCGAGAAAACTCTCTCGGCAGCAGCAGATGATGGCGGCACAGTGATGACGATCCGGGCAGCATTCTGCCACACCGGCAGTTGAACTTGGTCTCTCCACCAAGAAAGGTGGTCTTGGCCAGGTTGAGTATCAGCAGCAGCAACCTTGTAGGCTGCAAGCTCCACCTTGAGCTGTTGGATAGTGCCATATTTATCCAGGGGCGGAAAGGCACGGACACCATCCACTAGAGCGGGAACTGGATTCGTCTTGGCAACGAATATTGGGCAGCACAGCCTGGCAGCCTTGTATGCCAACACATTGGCAAACAGCGGTGAATCCTCATGGTTGAATTTTGTGAGGAAGTAACGAATTGCCGGACGCATGCAACCATTGGCATGCTCTTTCAACTGGTTCTGGCGGCCAACATCGCCGGGTGCAATGTCCTTCACAAGAGCTTCAACATTGGGGTAGACTGCATCTTGGGCAGCAGTAGCCACCTCTTGCAAATGAGTGCATGCATCCACACTCAACATGCCGTCGCCTTCAATGCTGTAGGTTTTGCGGACGAATGGTTCCCCAAAATCAACGGTTGCAGCCAGCTCCATACGAAGCATATCACAGCTGTCAGGTGCCGTTTCGTTTTGCAGGATGGAAAGGAGGCGGCGACAGGCATTCGGGCTTGATTCACATTCCTCCAAGAAGGGCTGAACATCCCCGAAGTATTTGAGCAGTTGTTCCAGCACTTCCCACAAACTCCACCACCTGGTTGCACTGTAAGACTTCGGTGATACACCTCTCCGTGTCTTCCAAGCGAGTTTAGTGGCATGACTGCGAGAGAAGAGACTGACCCACCATTGGCAGAACTCATCCAGGGTGGGGGTATCAAAGTGGTCTCCAATGTTGTTCAAACTGTGGAAAGCGCAAACTACATCCATGGAACTCGGGTACAGCAAGTCTACAACATGCCGCACTGCAACCGTGTTAACAAATGCTCCATCACGTACGAAGGCGACTGGCTTATTGGCAGGTATCTGAAGGAATGTGCTCAGGCAGGCAATAAGTTCTCTGGCCATCTCCGTTCCTCGCATGCTTTTGGCAAGCACATGCATTCTCACCAGGCGTTGCTGGATGCACCATGATGCGTCCACGTAACGAATGATGATGGCGAATGCCTGGCCAAGATGGGTGGTACCGTCGAAAATTACTGCAACATGTTGTGCTTGCTTGATTTCCTCTTTCAGTTTCTCCAGCTCCACCTCAAGCAGGAAGGGAACTAGCTGAGCCATATGTGAGCTGTGCGTGAGGTTGAGATTGTTATTCTCCAACAGTGGGCCAAGATGGTCAATCTTCGTAAGTGCCACACCAGCCTTCAAGAAAGACTCAACGACATTGGCACGTCGGAGTACGGTCGTATCACCTGTAGCCTTCGTGAGACCAGTACCTTTGAGCTCGTCTGCTTTCTTCTCCTGGTAGACCTTCCAGGATTTCGTGATGGTCGCTTGGTGGTTTTTGGATTTCACTCGTCGTTCTTTCGACAGGAGATGGTGCTTAGAAAGCACATGGGACCTCACAATACTCTTCTTTGTCTGTACGACAGTGCGACACACGCCGCAGAAGAGCTTCCCGGCTGATATACAAAGATGTTCGTTCAAAAATTCCACTATTCTTTCATTGGGATTAACACGAGGTGCACGTATCGATTTTCTTTCGCGGACTCTTGTTCTATTTTGACTCTTTGGCTTACATGACCGGTTGAACGAACGATCTCTAGCAATGACAGCTTCCTTTGCCTTTGGTAATGTGTTGGCCACATCATCATCATCATCATCATCATCATCATCATCATGCGACCAAGCCGCTTTTACGGGCAACAATATTATGAATATGAAACGCAAGGTATTGTAAGAGCAATTTTCTGAAAATAATGTTAAAACACGAAATAATTTATAGAAATGCATTATCACACCGTAGCCACTTTTATGGGCAAATTCCAATACAAGGCAATAGGAAAACGAGGATGACGTTAACCTTTTAACCCAAAGAAAAGACAAAAGATGTCAACAATAGAACTACAAATATAAAAAACAAACATCAGGTCATAAAAACTACTTCAAAACATCAACCAAATGACAGCAAAGCGTGGAGAATGAGATTGACTTACAAAACAAAAGTAGTCCTACTATGCTTGTAAAACAGAATCTACCTACACCACTAAGGAAGAAACATTAAATGATTGCAGTCTCACAAACACCGGCCTCTATCTAACGACCCATCAAACAATAACTCCTGAAATTCTAGACTGACTTTTTCTGGTAGGAGCTACGGCAGCCGCGAAAACAGGTCACTGCCCAATGGAGCAAAGTGAACGAGAGCAGGCACCGCAATCGACCCATAACCAGCGAGTAGGCCAAGTCACTGTGTTTATCATCATCATCATCATCATCATCATCATCATCATCATCATCATCATCATCATCACCAGTATCTAAATCCGTCTCGTAATCATCTTCTTTCTCTGAAGGATCAGAGTCAGAGAGGACAATTTCAGTCGCCTCCCCACAAGCACTCATGAGCAAGGTTTTGACTTCCGAAACGAAAATAACAAGCGCAACAGCAGACTTCGCATGTCTTCTGTACAAACTTAAACTAACAAAGTCATCAACTCGAGAGAGAGAGAGAGAGAGAGAGAGCGAGAGAGAGAGAGAGAGAAAGAGAGAGAGAGAGAGAGAGAGGTCTCCCCAATGAAAACCTTGAAAACGGTGTGTGTAGCGTAGGTTTGGCGCTTCCAAATAGGCACCCTTAGCATTGAGACGATAACGCTAGCGGTAACGGTATTTTGACTGTGGCCGGACGAAGAGTACCCATTTTGTTACTGTATGGCATATATGTACCCTTGAATCCTGTTGTGCACTTGCTGTGGGCCAGAAGAGGCCCAGACTCCATAATTGGTGCAAACATTACCATATTGGTCATTGCAGCGTATGCCTTGGAAAGGTTTTTAGCCCCCAGGCCCCTTTTAATGCTTTTAACCCCATAAAACCTGCTTGCAATGCTAGAGCAATGCTAGTTTCCAAAAAGGCTTTTAATGCCACTTTTAATGCTAGCATTAGCCGCTGAGGCCTAGTCACAAGTGAGATAGGAAAAATATACTTCATTGAGGAAGTATGTTGATGATGATCAAACACGACAGGTGGTGAGTGGAACACTGAAAATGAAAGGATATTTTGACATGGGTGGAATGGAAATTGTGAATGTAAAGCAACCATCAACAGGAACATCTGTGGTGACATCAGAATATCTCAACACACCACAAAGACAGACTCTCTGGACGAGTGGAGCCAACCAGATGAAAGGAAATCTTAACATGGGATTGAAACACACCATCAATCTCCGACGGTCAACAGAGAATGACTCACCAACAACAAAGGAATATGTTGATAGAAAGGATGGAGAGGTGAAAGTCACAAAAATTGAAGAATATCATCCCAAGCTCATCAACTACTCCACCAGAAGCCATAGTTCATGTTTTTCCTAATAACAAAATTCCAGCCAACAAACTCATTGTCACTGAGGATATCTTCATAGTTTATCAAGAAACAAGCGGTAGCAGAAGACGTTTACATGTACCGTATCGAGATGTGTTGGGGGAAAAAGTAATCCGATACATAACTGAAAATGATCTAACGACACCATATCTGACCGTCATCAACAACACACTGACAAAACCAAAACCAACTGCGAGTGGATACGTTCTCATTGATGAATGGAAACTGGTTGATCATGAGTACTGAAAATCCTAACTATATAATATAAACAAAAATGGAAATGCTTCATTTGTTAATACTGTTGACTATGCTACCATCGACCCTTGGTTGTATTCGTGATCCGTTGGATAAGAATGGAGCCTGCTTGACAGCAAAATCCCCTGCTCTTTGTCAAACCCCAACCCTGGTAGATATCCCCAGTGAAACACAACCAACAGACCATACCACTACGCAACCACTTTATGATCAGACGAAACCAGAAACGTGAACAACCTTCATTTGACAGACCCCTCACTCTACCTGTTATCTCTGATTATTATTCCCACAGTTGATGCTGTCGTTTATCTAATAAAAGGTTCCAAATGTTCGATGAGTGTTGGCCCTGAAAATGATCCAAGAAACTTAGAAACACACCCACCAGCAAGATTGGAATTTGATCCAATGTCATTACAAAATATGCTTGGTGGGACCAATCTACCAAGACCACCCTCAACCTTTGATGTAACTGGTATGGTCTGATGGGAAAAAAAGAAAAGGTTTACTTCAAGTACGATAGAATAAAAATGGTGGAACTGAAAATGATATCTGTCCTCTTAGAAATTTTCATGTTGTGTAGTGTTTCACATTCCTTTATAATTCCTGGGAATAAATGTTGGGTAGAGGGTGATCATATTGTCTGTGTTCCTTCTCAACCACGTATTTTCCTTATAATGTACCAGGAGCATCTGTAGCACCGCTAACAAAAGGAAAACCAACAACACAGAGAATGATGTCAACAACGGTAGCTCCAACAACACCGACACCACCGACAACATCGGGAATTACATCGGGTAAATCTAACCACTTGATATACCTCCTTTTCCTTCTTCTTCTTCTCAATCCCATTACTGCTGCTGAATTTCATAGACAAATAAAAAATGATGTCATAGAAAGAAGGATAAAGACCTACACACTTTCGAATCCACCCACCTCATGTAAAGATGATCATTCGAAAAATACAACGTTCATACCCACAGAAGAGACACTAATCTTGTTGAGGGGAGAGCAGCACACAACTCAGGATGGAGACCACCAATTACAAAAAAGTTTATGAAAACAAGAAAAGAGATATATGTGGAAATGTTCAATGCCTTAGCAAAACTAAACCAGGCAAAAGTTGGGTATGCTGAATAGATAACACGAGAACAAGAAGATGGGAAATATATTGTTGATGATGAGATGGAAAATGGGTAGGAGTTATTATTATTAATCAATCTTATTATTATCTTATTATTATTATCTTATTATTATTAATTCAACATCTCCTGGCTCGTCAGAAGACTGCCAATATATATGAGAAGTCGGGTGGTAGCCAACCACGGCGAACTGAATAATAAGGAGAGAAACAAAGAGAGTACGGCAAGGGGAGTTGCCCGTTTTAGGATTGTGAAATGTCTTTTCAGAAAGTTGGCCCAAAGCTAGCTTACCATTATCCAAATCCTCATCCAAATCTGGATCTCCCGAAGTTGACTCAGGAACCGATCCCAATCAGTCCTCGAAGTGAATCAAGATCGGGTTTGAGAGCCCTCAGATTCTCTAATATAGATTAAATCGGGGTAAGTGAAAAAGCTCAAGTTGGCTCACTTCCGATTTCGGTCTGATTTCTGAGAGGGAGCAAGTTGACTCACTTTTCTGGAATTGGGGTGAGCCAACTTTAAAGATTGGAAAAATCAGTGGTTGGAGGGTCTATCATTTAATACAGTAGTATAGGGGAGGGTAGAGACTTGAGAGATTGGCCCAATAGTGCCAATCGAAAAAGTCGATTTTGGCTCACCTTCAGGAGAGCCAGAACCCCCTTCCCTATACTTCTTTACCTGCTGTCGGACGTGTGTTCATCAACACGTACGAAAGCGACATCCCACTTCTCCTGGACGGTGGTGCAGTGATCCAGTCGAGAGAGGGTACTTGTCAAGGCGGCCCATTAGCGATGGCCTTTTATGCTTTGGCCTTGATTCCCCTCTTTCGGCATTGGCAGGAGGTCTGCAACTATCTGGGACAAATTTGGTACGCCAATAATGAAGCTGCTGCAGACAAGGTACCGGCGTTGCTGTCGTACTCGCATGTGAAATCCGATTTCGGTCCAAAGTATGGGTATTATCCTAACCCGCAGAAGACCGTTCTCCTGGGAAAGCCCAATCTAGCTCTTCGTGCCAGGAGCGGTGTTTTATTATTATTAATATTATTGTAAAAAGGAAAATGACATATGGATACGAGTTAAGAGTAACTCTCCATCACTGTAACTGGATGCTATATACAGTCAGAAAGTGCAATAACTAGGCACAAAACTGACAAGGGTACTGAGACATTCGACGTCCTGACACCTAGTTTCAACACATCTCCGTAGCGCTAACCGACAGCCTTCCAAATTGGAAGGTTAAAGGTCGTGGAAAGACCAAAGAGGGGAAGGCAAGTGCAACGAAAACGAGCAAAAGTTAAAGTACCAATGGAACTAAGAATGTCGATTGTTACTGGACGATGACGAGACCAGTACGATATTTGACAAAGCGGTCTAACTACAATTCGAAGCAGCAAAGCAGCACACCACCCAACTTGGGTGGGTCATAAATATCGAAGATAAGTAAAGAAAGGGGAAGCTAAGCTAAAACGAATTGTACAAGCCGAAAGCCAAACTCCTACAGTACTCCTCATGCATGACATTGTGATGGACTAGTTGACTACAAAACAAGTTGTTTCACACGACTATGTTCAGCAATGGGATTGTCATATTTGCACACAATTGATACACCCCTTGGTTCATCCTTTCAGGGTCAGTTCCTCTGCCCAGGGTCTTATAGCATGAACTGACAGGTACTCAGCCACATCCAAATTGTCGATAGGCAGCTGAGCCGGGTGTCCGAAATACCTCCTGTTTGGAGCCCCACTGGAGAACCGCCAGCGAAAACACGGTCAACATTCTTTAGATGGCCGAAGAAGTTGGCACACCATGTCCTCTCCATCACACTCCACCTGTACTTTCAGATATACAGTATACACTGCTGCACACAGTGTTCCTCAACATACTAGACGTCGCACTCATATTCCCCACACCAAAGCCTATCTGCACACGGTTTTCTCCGCTCGCCAGAGAGTACTGCTTTCGCTGCATACTGCTCATGCTAGCGATGTTCCGCATAAGGGAACTCAAATTATCGACTTGAGCAAGTTGAGGTAGCAGCAGAGTCCAGTGATTGTTTTTGCACTTGCAACCAATACTGGCATTGTCCCGGATATGTGCAGCGATGTCCATTCTGGCAAAATCATCGGCCGACTCACCTCCCAAGTCAGTGTCGATGCCAATCGCTTGCCAGGTTGTCATCAGAGTAGAATTCCTCGTCACTGCAGATCGTGGGACTACCAGCATCAATTCTTTTTACGCTCGATGAAAGTGTTGCCCTCAAATGACTCGTCGCTGTAGCCATCATCGTCTTCCTTCTGTTTCCGACTCGAATCCTCAAAATATTTTATCCTGCGCATGGAGTGCGATGATGACGTCTTCTTCCGCTCCGCAGGACATTACTACTACTAGGCTCTTCTGTCAATACATCGATGCGACTCAGCGCAACATGGAATACAAACTCTAACAAATAAACTTACTTGCAACAAAGAATTGCATCCGGAACAGTCCAGTCGACCGAGGAGAACACAACCTGACAACAGCGCACCTCGCACTTCTTTTTTTTTGGCGCGGAATTCAAATCGCGATTATCTCGACTTTTTCAAAAAAAGCTGTGGTCATGTTTTAGCGCGCTCGGGCTCATATGTAGAAAGGAAAAGGACATATGGATACGAGTTAAGAGCAACTCTCCATCACTGTAACTGGATACTATCTATACGGGATTGGGCGACCGACTGGCTGTAGGGACCCTGCGTGGTGGTTTTCTGGACGTTACTGTGAGAGAGTGAGTCTGTGCACAAATATTATGTATTATTACGCGTCTGCGTGAGTGTGCACGTGTGTGTCTGTGTGTGCGTGTGTGTGTGTGTGTGGTGTGTGTGTGTGTGCGTGTGTGCGTGCATGCGAGCATGTGTGTGCGTGCGCGCGCTCGCGCGTGTGTGTGTGTGTGTGAGTGGGTGGGTGCACATGGTTGGTATGTGGTGTTTATGTGAGCGTATGATAATAATCTCTTCAATGATATTAATATCTTTATTTCAAGATTACCCAACGCCGGCGAACGCCTATCAGGTTGATCCCCTATTTGAACATGCGCATTATGTGTGTGTATGATGTGCCCTATAGCTCACTTAGAATTATTATTATGTTATACACGTAGATCATGTCCATGATGCCTTTCCTCTGCGCAGGTCGACCGCACTATTGTTTTTAAGATTCACATAATTATTACTTCTGCATAATGCATTACATACTATGATCATACTGGCTCCATCCCTTATCTCCTAAGCTACCAACCCCCCCCCCCCCCCCCCCGGTGCGTCTGCCCAGTGTTCACTCCGAGACCCACGGTCGGACGAGCTGCCCAGGCCTCACCACCACTGCCGTTTCCGTGCTGCCTTCTCGATACATACGTATGTACACTGTATATCATGTGCACATTCACATGTCTAAAGGTTTGTGGTTTTTCAATAATAAAAAAAAAAACTATATATAGCTATGAATAGGATGAAGGCCGCAGACATCACGCAACTACGTTACTTGTTTGACATGTATTACTGTGTATTTTATAACAAAAATATTATTGAAAACCCAGAATCGATTTTCTCGTTCCTATCATCAGTGGAAAAAAACGGAACTAAGGATACAACCAAAGAAACTGAAGTTTAGTACTGTAAATAGAAAGGTGTTAGAAATAACATCAAGATACAAGTGCAATAAAACCACTAGAGGAAACGCAAGAAAGGTAACAAGATTACATAACCAAGGGGCGAGAAGGCACTGAACGAAATGTCAACCTACGAATACAACTTCAGTGCAACAATGTGCTCTTTCTGCTTACACAAAACAGGCTTATGAATACGTATACAAACTGCCTCTAGGACTTTCAACTGTTGAACCTAACGCGCAGGACACAGTACAGAAAAATGAGAGTCATCATACACACCAAGACAGTCAGGACGAGATAACAAGTGTAGATACACAGCTGACTTCTTACGATCAACACATTCATCCGCCTCATCTCGCTCCTTCCCACCCGACTCCTCCTCGTCCATCTCCTCGTCATCTTCCTCGTTCCGCTCGTCATCCTCACGATCATCATCACAACCATCATCTGCCTCGTCCTCTGTCTCCTCACCAACCGTTTCGTCATCCAATTCCTCTTCCATCCTCTGATCATCCGTCCCATCCTCCGTTTCAGTACAGACCACTTGTCTCCCGTTTGCTAGCTGCTCGTCCCGTGAGCGGAGTTGTTCCTCCAGATCCGCTTCACTCACTGACTCATGATACTGCTCGACCCTGCTCCTGTTGGTACTGTCCACAACGCGCGGTCCCTGGCCGTTTCTGGCATAGATCTCTGTGCAGTAGTTTGCTGTTGCCCTCCGAGGTCTCTGGATTAATGTGGGCGGCGTGGCAATTCGTGTGAGAGTTGGTGATGCCAGCGCGAGTGTAGGTGGGTCCACCCCAGCCCCCGCCACAAGAAGAGCCGGTGGCGGTTCTGGTGGTGGCAAGGGCGACGGTGGTGCTGCTGGAGTTGGCACCTTGGGCAGCCTAGCTCTCCCGCACGGCACCGCATTCTGTGCTGGCTTGGCGAAGAACATGCGGCGAAACCTCCTGACCGGAGCGGGTTCTATTTATCCCGAGAACATCTCAAAGCACGACGTGAACTTAGTACAAACC